AAGGCATGTTGGTCCTCTTTGTCAGCATCCTCCTCTAGGTCTTCATCAATTAGATAGGAAGAGGGGTGTACGTTGACTTGGTATTTCAAGGCATCCTCATTGCTGAAGAACATAGTGCTGATGAGATGGGCAGGCATATCATGCCTGCAGGATGAGGATGACTGCTGGCTGGGTCCCTGAACTGAGACAAGATTTGCTGAGGCAATGATCAAGTTGTGCATGGTGAGGAAGTTATCAATCTTTTCCTTGAAATTCCATCCCACAGCTGTCCTAGGAATGTCAGAGCTGTCTGGCATGAAAACTCTTCCCCCAATCAAAGAGCATTTCCCAGCTTGTATGTATTCATGATCTAGTCTTTCATCTCCATTCATGTCATTATGCACAAGTTGTCATCAAGTTAAGCAAAGTCTGTCATGACCATGTGTGTGTGTGGGCATGTGTGGGCATATGAGTGTATGCATGCATGCACAAGTCAACATTGAGTTAGGCAGAGTCAGCCATGACCATACATGCATGTGTGTTCTTGGTCATGCACACAACTTGTTGATGAGTTAGGTGAAGTCTGCTATGTTCATGGACACATCACCAAACACCTTTGGGGTGTGACACTGCCTTTGCTCACATCCTGGTCACCTATGATTTGTGGAATGCCTGGATTGGTCATGCTGGTGGCAGGGCAGTGAGTCAGCTGTCTTCAATAGCATCTGGTGTCACCATTAGCTCCTCCAGCCTGCAGTCAATCTGTGAGTCCTGTGTAGTTGGAAATCATGCTTGCTCACTGTTCAAACCCTCTAAGAGCCACACCACTACCTTTCTTGAGCTCATACACACTGATCTTGGGGGACCTATGCCAGTCCAGACCTTCCATGGCAAACTGTACTTCATGGTTATCCATGATGACTATACCCACATCCTACATGTACATTTGCTTGCTCACAAGGACCAGGCTCTTGATGCCTGGGAGATCACTCAAACCTGCTGGGAACAGCAGCATGGTACAAACCCTGAGGATCATATTTCAGTGACAGGATATTGTTGGTTCTATTATGGGGGTGTCATCACTCACTCCTCTAAAAAAAACAGACTATGCAGGCCCTGTCCTCCACCAAAGCCAAGTATATGGCAGTCACTGCAGCCATCCAGGAAGGCCTGTGGATTCAGTCATTCCTTCTGTCTGTGGGTTTCCTGGTGCCACCTCCCACCCATCTTTATGCTGACAATGTGGGGGCAATCACATTCTCATGAGAGGCTGCAAACAATCATTGCACTAAGCATATCAATGTACAGTATCACTTTTGTCACTCTCACATCAAGGCTGGGACTTTTCTGCTTGAGTGGATCATGTCCTTCCATAACACTGCTGATGTCCTCACCAAGGTCCTGCCTCATCTGTCCTTCTCCTGTCATGTTGCTGGTCTTGCACTTGTGTCCCATTGAGGGGGCATTGGAGGTCAGGTTTTTCAATGGTCACTTTGCTTGTTTCTCATTTCTGTTTTTCTTCTCTGCACATGGAACTTTTGCTTTGCTTGTTTCTCTTTCTTCTCTGCACATGGAACCTTCACTTTTCTTGTTTCTCATTTCTGTTCTGTTCTCCTTTCTCTATGCACAGGACTCATGTTAGTTTGGACTCTCCCTTTTGTTCATTTGCACATGTCCTGTTGTGGGGGTGTGTTGGTGTCAATGGTCACATGTTAGGCATGGTTGTACTTATAGAGTTGTTTACATTAGTTTACACCTCAGTGCTTGTGTCTATGATGCTGAGGTGGGTACAGTAGCCCCTGAGGACATGCATGTATACTTACCTCCTGTAGTGTGACCTGTCAGGTATTGTTAATGACAGCACTTGTGTCTACAATGCTGAGTGTGTCCTGTCAGTTTTACAACAGAGAGAATTCCAGATATTGTGCAGAGGAATAGAATGGGGGGAAGCTAAAGCAAATGCTTGCCTTAGTAAGAGTTGAGTGGTAGTGGTAAAGCTTGTAGGTGCTTGAGTTCTGTTGAGAACAAAGTAGAATCTGAGTTGATTTGACTGAGGGATGTAGACCTCAGAGTAGAGATTATATACATGGGGACTTGCACACAGACCATGTAATGCATAGTCATGTACACCTACTAGAAGGAGAAAGTATATACCATGTATAGTATAGAAAGTAATAGAATGTCATGGAACAAGTGGAGTGATTGATAAAACATCAGTCAGCATGAGTAATGAGTATTATGACATGAGTCATGTGACTGGTTGTTGTGATAAGCAGAGTATCACATGTATAATGTGAGCCTAGAACCAGTGGTTGTTCATAAACTTCCAACACCAGATTACTCTCACCCCCAAGCAAGTATGTACTTAGGTCTGGCAGGCCATGGAAAACCTATTTCCTCAACTAGGAAGCAAATCCCTGAAGATTGTGCATGTGGGACTGCTAGATCTGCTGGCTGGTGGTTTGCCAATTCACCTGTTGAAAAAAATGTTACTTCAGCTATCCATTGCAGGCAACCAATATTTGTACACAAGAGATGCCTTGCTTTGCTCTGGCAGTGGAGTCTTAGATAGATTTCTCACTTGGGAGAGTCTTTAGTAATGGCATTGCTTACATTGAGATAAAGGTATGGCAATAGACATGAACTGGTGAAATCTATGAAGGTAGTACATGATATTATTGTAAAGGATGCCAATACATGGGGTTTCTATCATAATAATATATGAGGATAGTGTGAGACCAGGAGCTTAGAGGAGGATCTTGTTGAAGGCAACATTGACAGTGGAATTGGATCCTTTAGGTAGTAGAATCTGTGCATGGTTCCAGTGCCAGATGTGGGACAGAGCAGTGTACATATAACTGACCATGAGAGAAGACAGGTCTTGTGAGGTCAACACCAACCACATTTAATGTTAGACCTTGGCAGGTGTTGAATGTGGTGGTGTAGGCAGGGGCTAATGGATATTGGCATTGCATGAGGGTGTCCAGAGTGTAGCACTGATGAAAAGGTGACACAAGGGATGAGGATGTTGTCACTGGCAGTGGTGTGATCATGAATGATGTGTATGGTGATGAGATGGTGGCATAGAAATGTCACATAAAGAGTCTTTCAACAATACAGACAGAATCCTTTCAATCAGCACAGAAGTTGAGTCCCAAACTGGTGCTATACATTGGGCAGTGAATGCAGGCCCCAACCACCCCCACCTGACCTTACTCTTTCCCTTTGAAGCAGCTGCCACAGAAACTGTAGTTGATATAAGCTCAGTGTACTGGTAGTCAGTCACTGAGGCTACACTAAGTACAAACAATGAAAAGAGAGTATGTGATTAGTAAGCAAGTGGCATAGCCACACAATGTTTGCACTCCAACACTCCCCCTCAAACAGAGTGGAGTCCCAGTTCAAATGCAAAATGTTTAGCTTAAACAGAAGGGAGTGCTTTAGTAAGAGTATTGGCAACCATGTCACTGGTTGGGCAATAGAGAAAATGAATGGAACCATTTGTGACAGTGAAATGAATAAAATGGTAATGAATGTCTATGTGTTTAGTACATGCATGGTAATTACCATCTTTGGTCAGTGCAATAGCTGATTGGTTGTCACCATATAGAATAGTTGGGTGTTTGAGGGGGTGAAAAACCTCACCAATAAGGTGATGTAGCCATGTAATTTCTTTTGTGGCATGTGTGGCTGTGACATATTCAGCTTCTGTGGTTGACAAGGTAATGAGTTCCTGTTTCTTTGATCCCCAGGAAATGGCTCCCCTGTCAATGAGGAAAGCATAGCCAGAAATGGCATGGCAGTGCTCCTGTGATGTGCATCAGTATTGGCATAGCCTATGAGGCCCTTTGACTCTGTGCCATAGGTTAGCAACCAGCCTTTCATCCCTATGAGATAGTGGTAGACACATTTTAGTGCCTCTCAGTGCATCCAGCCTGGGTTCTCTGTAAATTGGGCCAGAGTAGATGCAACAAATGCTATATCTGGCCTTGTTCCAATGGTGAGGTACATGAGTGAGCCTAAGGCCTCATGAAATGGCACCTGTCACATTTTGGTGACCTTGATAGCAGACTTTGGGGACTGGTTTCAAAGTTGATGAAGTGATCCCTATGAGTGGATAAATGTTGTGAAGCACCACTGTCATAGAGTTCAACCATAGTAGTTGATGACATAGAGTCTGCCAGAGCTAGGGTGGCATAGGGCAGTGCCGATGTAGTCTCCGACTCATCAACACCTCCTGCACTGTACCCTGCCAGCCACACTGCATCAGGCTCAGTGCTTGTTGCTTCTGCAGCTGCATTTGCCTTCCCACCCCTTGAGTCTTTGCCCAACATGTCCTTCTTCCCTCTAGGCTTCCAGCCCTTTGGGGCTTTTCCTGCCTTGCCACTGCCTTCTTCCCAGCAGTTTTCTGCCCTGTGGCCAGTCCAGCCACAGTTGAAACAAGTACCAGAGAACTTTGTCTTTTGACCTTTGCTTTTCCTGGAGCTGTCTGTGGAAAATACTACATCTTCTCCTGGAGACTTTGTCTTCCCACCACCTTGGATAACAAAGCAATCTTGCTCATTGAGTATGTAGGACATGAGGGAGTCCAAAGTAATGGTTTGATTTAGTAACTTCATGTTTGATGAAAGTGATGAGAGTGTTGAATTGTAGCTGCATGGAAGTGAAGCAAAGATTATATTAAAGAGATCTTCATCTGAGACTGGTTGACCTGTAGTTGCAAGCTCTTCATGAATGGTTATCATCTTGTCAAGGTGAGCATGAGCATCTCCTCCATCCTTCAGTTTCATTTCACCAAGCTGACATCTCAGCTCAACAGCAACAACCAAAGAGTAATCTTGGAATTGACCCATCAAGGTCTTGTAGTATTTGTAGGCACTGGATTTGGATATGAGGCACATGTAGAGGGAGTCAGGGATTGAAGCTGTGACATGTTCTTGTATGAGGGCATCAAAATCAACAATCAGTAGCAAGACTGTCAAAACAGACACCACTCACACAACAGTAGAGGACATTTTCACATCCTGCATGAAATCTGATGATGTCACTGCAAAAGCCTTGGTGACACCATCAGGCAGTGAGACTGCATGCATGGTCACAGTGCCAACACCAAAGATAAAGGGCCAGGGACAGTCAGGGATAGCAGCCTTGAACTTCTCAGAACCAGGATCACCAGGGAATGGCACAATATCAGAGGCTTCCAATAAGATAGGGTCACAAGGGATAGATGGTGGGATGTATGCTCTCACAATAACATAAGCCACAGAGTCATCCATGAGCAACAGACCATTAAACAGACTATAAATGTGCAGTTGCACAGGAAAGACAGGGCCCAACACACACTGCAACACAGTGTTATAAAGGCAATGATATGCCTTCACACCACCACCAGCCTTTGTTGTCTGTACATGGTGGCCACCTGAAAGTGCAAAAAAACCAACCAAAGTGGTCATTGACATATCTATCCAGAATGAAGAGTGCATGACAGAGAATGCAACACCTGCAAGGTTTTAAAGTCCACACCCATGTCAATGGATACTGCCCTTCCACCTGCCCAGAATGCACCCACAGTGGCTAATGTGATGAGGACCATGTGGCAGCACAGAAAAGGGTCTGTGGCCCTTGGCACTGCATGGCAGCAGTCCCAAGCCATGCACCTGCACAGAGATTGGAAGGAGTTGACTCTGCATGACTGCACCCTCTGAAAATCATGACATATCAATCATAGAGGAAGCACTTATCCAGCCTTAAAGATGATAGCAACTGCACCCCATGACCCAGACACACCCTGGCCTAGGTACAAATAGACACAAACAAAATCATTGGATGCAGGTAAGATAATGGTAAGTCATACACTAGTAGAATCTAGATCCCTGATCCAATGACTAATGGTTTCAAAACCATTCCACTATTCCCTACATCAACCTTTTCAAGTTGCTTGTGCTTCAGTGTGTTGAAGGCATCTGGCATCAAGGCAATGGGTTTGACTATGGCCTGATGAAGTAACAAAGAGAGGATATACTTCCCTATCACACAACCTGGCATGTATCACATTTCCTTCACACTGCCAGCATCAGGTGTTGTGGTAAGCAATTCATCCAGCTCTGTAGTATATAAACTTATTGTTATTTTCCAAGACTCTCAAGATAATGACTTTGCTTCCTGTCCAACACAGGGGTGGACAAGTCCAAGTTGATTCCATTGAAACACACCAAGCCCTGCAAGTCTATGGGTTGTGACAAACAACCTGTACCCACTTCCAATCTTGGCAAGGTATTGGTATCTTTATCCTCATCACTTTTCAATACACCAGCAAAAACTCCATTGAAGGACAGGGCCAGTAAGTCAAATTGTACATGCTCTCCCCTGGCTATCAGAACCTGATACTAACCTTCATTTTGCCAGATGTTGATGATAGCACCACTGAGCCAGAGAGTGATGATGAGCAGATCAAGACTGCATTATCTAAGGCAGGTATTCTTAAAACCCAGGGTGATAGCCTCATCACAGCCCACGACCAACTTCCTTCACAATCTTCATTGCTCTCTCAAGAATCAGTCAGCACATTTGTCCTTGTGAGGTGTATGCAAGCATTATGTGGATATCTGCCACTTGAGTTCACCCAGCTTGACACCCCTTCCAAGCATCTGCTTTCTCCCACTCCACTTACATTAACACTGAAATGCCTCAAGGTTGCAGAAAACTAAATGCACATGCTCCTGTTTATTGTAGATACACTGAAATAAGAATCTGAAATCAATTTGTAAAGTGCATGTACATGTTGACTGACTACAGCTGCTTAAGAGGAGGCTGAAATTAAGACTATAAAGAAGGTCTCAGGCTTCTGTGGTAAGAAGACTTAAATATTAACAGGCTAACCTATAAAGAAGGTCTATGGTAGTATATCAGTAAGGTAGCTGTAGGGTTAATATAGTAAACATACCTCAGGCTTCTGTGGTAAGAAGACTGAGGTGCATGAGGAAAAACTAACTGCCTAAGTGCGAAGAATTATTATGTAAGCTTGTATGCTGTAAGCAAATAAACATAGGGGACACATGTTCCAACACACCCTCTCAGTGTAGCAAGTCTTTAGAAAATAATAATAATTCCCATACCAAGAGACAAGTGTTCATGCTTCTCACATGACAGTCCCTTGGTGAGAACATCAACAATCTGCTCATTTGTAGAAATGTACTTGATGTTCACTTCTCCATCTTCAACCTTCTTGTGGATAAAATGATGATGAATAGCTATGTGCTTCATGCAGTCATGGAACATTGCATTGCTCATCAGGGCTAATGCAGACTGTTATGATACATACACTTTCTCACTTTTGCTTTTCTCTTTTGCTTTATCTAATCTCTTGTCTTATCTTATCTGCTCAAGTCTTGGCATAGACCCTTGGTCTAGTCCTTCACCTCACTGCATGCACATGTCCCCTTCTAGGATGTTCTGCTCCACTGACATCATCATCATGTCATACTGTGCTCCTACCTCATGTATGCCTCCCCTGTACCTTGTGTACTGTACTATAAGTATTACCAACAATTCCCAGACTAGCTCCCAAGCTAGTTCATTTGGGTCTTCAAACCTAAACACCTGCTTCTAAGTCTCTCCTCTCCCTTCATCTCTTGTCTTCTTCTTCAGGTTCTTTGTGTGAGCCTATGACAAACCCTGTCATTTAGGTCTCATCACATGGACTGATTGTCAACTAGGAGGGAAGTGGGCTGCATGGTCATATCCATATCTAGTTCATGTAGTAGCATTCATAGCCAAAGTATCTCTTTTGCAGCTGCTGAAACTGCCATGTACCCAGCTTCCATGCTAGACAAAGCAACAGAGGTCTGTTTCTTTGATGACCAGCTAACAGCTCCACTGGACAGAGTAAAGACATAGCCAGTTACAGAATGGTGGTCATTTACATCTGTGGCCCAGTCAGCATCAGTGTAGCCTACAAGAGAGCTTGTGGAGTCTCTCATGTACCGTAAATGTGCATCAACAGTTTTTTGAAGGTTTCTGTAAACTCATTTGAGCATGGCCCAGTGTTGGTTGCCAGGGGTAGCCACATGCCTGCCAAGCATACCCACAGAAAATGCAAGATCTGGCTGGGTAGCCAGCATAGTGTACATCGATGCTCCAAGAGCACTTTGATATGCATGTAGGTCATAGGCAGGAGCATCAAGTTTCTCTAATTTTAAGTTCTGCTTGATGGGTGTGGACACTGCATGGCCATCCTGCATGCCCATATGCTCGAGAATGAGCTCTATATAGTGACACTGAGACAATTCTATGGTTCCCTTGTCACAATCTCATATAATCTCCATACTGAGGATCCACTGAGCCTTGCCTAAGTCAGAGAGGTCATACTCAGCTGATAATTGGACTTCGAGGTGGTCAATGGCCTCACAGCTCTTCAAGAGGATCAGTTTGTTGTTGACATAGACAGCAACTATAATTAAAATGCCATTTTCATCTTTGTAGAAAAGACTGTGGTCAGCATCACTGCATGTGAATCCAAGAGATTCAAAGACTTCTTGTAGTTGATTGTACCTAGCTTTTGGAGCCTGTTTCAGTCCATAGAGTGTGTGATAGAGGCACCAAACAATGCCATTCAAGTCTTGGAAGCCAAGGGGAGGATGGAGGTATATTTCATCATTGAGTTTGCCATTTAGAAAGGCAGACTTTACATCCATCTGGTGGATCTCCAGATCATACTTAGCAGTGAGGGCAAGTAGGCTTCTGATGGTAGAAAACTTAGCTACAGGCTTGAATGTCTCCATATAATCAATTCTATGGACCTGTGTGAATCCCTTTGTGACCAGTTGGGCATTGTACTTATCAATGTCACCTGTAGGGCCTCACTTTATCTTGTGGACCCACTTCAAAACTATAATCTTTCTGTCAGGTGGGCATGGTACCTCATACAATCCTATAGCACAAAATGTTGCTAATTCATCAGCCATCACTGCATACCAGTGGTCAGCATCAGCACAACACATCACCTCTGCGAACATCATAGGCTCATTGTCACAGATTGTGCTTGTTTGGTACATGGTAACTTCTTCCCTTTCTGGGTTGTCACCACTCTGCCTCACTATTGCCACACCTTCTCATGTGCTCACCTCTGTCTCAGCACCCTCACTCTCTTCCCCTGCATCCTCCACAGACAGTAAGCTATGTTTTTGATATGCATTGATGAAATAGTGTTGATTGTTGTCTCGAATAGATGTTTTTCTGGCTCAGGATGACCTTTGAAGTCCCAGAGGGGGGATAGGGATTGGATAAGGACCAGGAGGCCCAGGCATCGAGCCAGAGTGATGGACAGCTACAGACAGCACTTGGTGTCAACATTCTGAGGTCCATACTTCATTGTTCTGCTCATGGTTTGACCCACTAATGCTTTTCTCTGTTTTAATATGAGTTTTAGGCTTGAGCATTGAGCAGCCATGATCATCAGCGATCTGTGAGCCATTGTCGATTGCTGTCTTGTTCTTTTGACTGCCCCAGGTGTGTCCTTCACCATCCCCACCATCTGACTTGTTTCCAGGTTCATCTGAGGTTGTTTCACTCTCTGGTAGGTCAATCTCCCCTTGCATCCCTTGTGTGTGAGCTGCAGGCATTATATGCCTTGTTTTCCTAGTTACCATGTCTATCTGGACTCGAGACATGTCTGCACTGTCCCCTTCATCAAAGACAGCATCACATGTTTCAACAATTTGCCCAGTCAACCAATGTATGCACAGGTATGCCTTTTTATTCTCTGAGTATCCAAAGAGCATGCACTCAAGAGACTTAACATCTAGCTTTTGATGCTTCTCTTCTGGAATGTGGACATGTGCCATGCATCCAAAAATTTGAAGATGGGCAACCAATGGCTTGTTTCCAGTGCATGCCTCATAGGGGGTAATGCTTTGCTTGAGCACTTTAGTTGGTAGTCTATTTATTATGTGTGCTGCATGCAGTATGGTGTCCCCCCAATATTTCTTGGGTAGACTGGCATTGCTGAGCATAGCTCATGCCAACTCAATGAGTGTTCAGTTCATCCATTCTGTCATGCCATTTTCCTGTGGTGTGTAGGCATTTGTCTTCTCAGGATGTATGCCTTTTGACTTCAGATAGGCTTCAAATTTGTTTGAGCTATATTCCCCACCACCATCACTTTGAAGATAGTTAGGGTGATGTCTGGTCTCTGCTTCAGCTCTAGCAAAGTATTCCTTGGTTAGTCCAAAGACTTCATCCTTCATCTTGATTAATTTACCAACCAGGTGGTGTGAGTGTCCATTGATGAATGTTATGAAGTACCAATGGCCAAATTGTCCTGTAGTTTCCATAGGTCCACACATGTCCATGTAGGTTTTGTGCAGTACACTTGGATTTTCTCCACCTGAGTTCAACAGAATAGGTTCCCAATGTTGTTTGCCATTGTGGCAGGCCTTGCATGAAGTCATGTTGTGCTCCTTTGGTCCTGTCAGCTCCATCCCAGACATCATGCCATTCTCAGATAGTCTTAGGATGTTTCTGATGTTTGCATGTCTGAGTCAACAATGCCAGGTGGTTAGTGTAGCCTTAGATGTTGTTGTGTATGAGGTGAGAGCAGTGAAAGGTTCATTTGGGTTCAACACATCAGGTGTACTGACAATGTATGCAGAATGACTGCCAGATATGACACTTGCTTCAAGTATGTAGAGGGACTTTCATTTAGTAGCCAGAGCTACAACCTTGCCATCAATGTGCACATACACTCCTGTTCTCCAAAGGTGACTAGAAGTCCCTTTAAGGCTAGTGCAGACACTGACACAAGGTTTGTGTCCAGGTCTGGAACATAGTAGACATCTCAGAGGATTGTCCTGCTTGTGTGGCCATCCTCAAGATGCATGGAGACTTTGATTCCCCCTTTCCCCATCAGTAAATCACTTTTGCCAGCCAGAGCTGTCCAGAGCTGTCCAGCACTGGACAGATTCCCTAGGACTACCAGCTCACAAAGTGGTCTACTGATGCCAATAGCTTGTATGATTCTACCATCACCAACAATCACTGGTTGCAAGGGTGACAGTTTGCTGAATGCTGCAAACCATGAGCATTGGCAGCACATGTGTGCTGAGGCACTGGAGTCAACTACCCACTCTGATGCACTGGTCTCAGGGCATGCATGTGCCACAAATAGGCAAAGAGGTTTGTTATCCTCTTCTGCAATGGTTGCAACCTTGGCTGTGAACTCTGTTTTCTCCTTGGATTTCTCCTCAACCCCTTGTGCAGATCCCTGTGGCACAGCTTTGGCCACTTCATCTGCCTTCTTTTTATAGCATTCATCCTCCATATGTCCAGTTTTGCCACAGGGGGCATAGTTACACTTCTTCTTTTTCTTCCTGTCTGTTGCCTTTGACTTTTTACCTGGGTTAGTCTTAGCAGCAAGGGCAGAATGCACTGTTGAAGTTTGTTGTGTTCTTTCTTCTACCAGGACTTGGGATATGACAGCCTCAATGGTGAGCTTGTAATTGGAGGACATAAGGATTGTCTGGAGTGTGGAGTATGGCTGCAGGAGAGATATCACCATCATGATCACTACCAGTGAGTCATCAAGGGGTTGACCAAGTGACAAGAGGATGTGGGCTTTTTGCTGCATGGCATTTAGCTGTGTTTCCATAGGCTGGTCATTGGTGAGTGTGCCATGAAACAGTTCTCCTATAAGGTAGGCTATGGATTGCTTTCCCTTTCCTTCATACTGTTCACTGAGCTTGCTCCAGGTCTCCACTGCAGTACTTGCACACAGAACACCACTAAGAGGCTTGTCCTTGAGTGTTAAGGTAATCTGTGTGCATGCTTCTTTGTCTTTCATTAGCCATTCCTCATACTGGTCTGGGTTTGTGTTTGCATCTGGAGCTTTCTTCTCTGTGCCAGCAACTACATTCCAGAGGCCTTGTATACCTAGGACTTTCTGCATTTGAAACTTCCACATGTGATAATTTGCTCCATTGTCTGTGAGGGGTGTTATATCATAGAGTCAGCTCAAGCCTTGGGTGACCCTAGCACTAGTAGATGCAGAAACTGTTGTGTTCATGCTTGTTGATGGGCCTACCAGTTACTGGGACATTGATGCTGACACTCCAGATGACATGTCTGTAAGTTATTTGGTGGTGCCACTTTTGAGTTCATTGATACTGTAAGGTTAGAGCTGCACAGGGCTCATAACCTCTTAAGAGGAGGCTGAAATTAAGACTATAAAGAAGGTCTCAGGCTTCTGTGGTAAGAAGACTTAAATATTAACAGGCTAACCTATAAAGAAGGTCTATGGTAGTATATCAGTAAGGTAGCTGTAGGGTTAATATAGTAAACATACCTCAGGCTTCTGTGGTAAGAAGACTGAGGTGCATGAGGAAAAACTAACTGCCTAAGTGTGAAGAATTATTTTGTAAGCTTGTATGCTGTAAGCAAATAAACATAGGGGACACATGTTCCAACACAGCCTCTCTCCCTTTTAACCCATCCCCAGCCTGCTATGCCCAAGGCATATCCATGCAACTGCAAGAGCTACAATTGTTGGGGAAAACTAGTTGATTATGATATGAGACATATGCATGAATGTGCAGACCTCTGACAGAGGACATCTGCCTCACAAGGCATCCATTGTAGTTTGATCATCCCCCATCTATCCAGCAAGCCGCCATCCCTTGTCTTGCCTTATCCTACCAGGGGCCCTATTTTCCCCCCCATAATGCATTTTCCTGATCCCCCTGCAAGCTCCTCTTCAGTGGTTGAGCAAAAAATGATTGACTATGGCATGCTTACACAGGAGGACATTGATATACAAGTGTTCAGTAGTGAGCTGCCAAATCTGGGGCCAAACTTCCATTCCCCAGAAGCTCTTCTTGATGCTATTGACTATTACAGCATGTATAGTGCAGTGATGGTAGCAGGTGCTCAGCCCCTGACTGCATATCATGTGCATCACTTACCCCCAGACTCTGAGGGGCATGCACTCCAGTATGCCATGGACAAGGCCCTTGAAGAGATCCAGAGAGTGCAACAGGAGCTTACAGATGACCCAGCATGGGACCCCATTGTGTCTGCAGACATAGATGATGAGATACCAGATATTGATTTTGACATTGAGGAGAACATGGACTTTCCAGACACTGCTGCTGCTAACCCCCAGGAACAGTCTGAAGATAATTGAGATCCCTTTCAGGTGAATGATGACTCAAGTTGCACTCACTTCACAGATCTATCAATGCAGCCATCATACCTTGTTGTCATATATGTGATGACAACATGGCTTCACCTCCAGTGACACCTCCCTTATGCTGCCTGCAATGCCATTCTCAACATTCTGTCATGTATTTTGCTTGCTCTATTCCCCTCTCTTCTCCCCCCATTCATAACACTACCTTCAGCCATGAAAGTCCTGGGCCTTGACCTCCATACACTCAAACTTCCATGCTGTCCCTCATGCCATGAAGTATATCCACTTGCAGGCTTGCTCCACACTCAAGATGAATGTATTCCATGCAAGACACCGCTTTTTTTACCTGATCAGACAAAACATGGCCTCTTGTGTTCAAAGAAAATTCCACACATCAAATATCCTTATCTCCCCCCTCTCTGAACATATCCAGTCACTCTTAAGTATCCCTGGTGTCAAGTATCCATTGGACAAATTGCATGCATGCTTGTGCTCACCTGGAGACTACACAGATATTTTCAATGGTGAAATCTGCTGAACAAAGCTAAGGCCCTGTTTGGAATGCCAATTGGAATTTTTTGAAAAAAAAAAAAGATGCAGAAAATTTCTCTCATGGTGTCATGTGACATAGGTTGTGGGAACATGATTAGGTAACCTTGTCCTGTCTGTCACTCTCCTGGGAGTCCTATGCACTGAGCCACCTGACATGTCCAATACATCCAGCAATAGATCTAAGCAATCTCTTCACTTGAATGGCCCAGTGGATCCTACCATTCTGCAAAATGCTAGTAAAAGACCCACTTGCACACAAAGATGTCTCTGGAGCACAGAGGAGGAGATTGCTCTCCTTGAATTCTTACTTGAGTCTTTGCCTCATGCTGGTGATGGAGGGTTCAAGGACACAGTTTTCAAGGCAGCAGCAGCTCATTTGAGAGCCAAGTTTCTAGTATACAGAGGTGTGCCAAAGCATACATTGATGTGCAAAAGCAAGTACCATGGGGACATGAGTAGTGACTTATTATTATTTTGCTGGCTGATGTCTTTGTAGCTCAAAAGGACATATGCTCTTGTGAATGATCTCTGGAGTGCATCAGGTTGGACTTGGTCAGATGAGCATGGTTGTGGAATTACAGCTGAAAATGATCCTCAGTAGCTTGCACAGGTGCAGGTATTGCTCTTGTCTACCTGCAATCACACATGCTTACCATAGTTGTAGGCTAATGGCAAAGTAGAGAAGTTCAAGAACACCAGGTGGCCTCACCTCCATCTCATGGACCAGCTCTTTCCAGGAACAGAAAAGGGAAAACATGTTGTCTATCCTCCAAGGGGAAAATCCAAGAAAAAAAAAGATACACCTGCCCCCAGCATCCAGTCAACTTCCAACCAGGTGGAATCATCTTTGCTTTCTCCCTTGGTCATTCCTCAGACTCCCAACACACCAGCATCAAGTTCCCCCACACCTTCATTCCCCTCCACATTCCTTGCACCTTCCACAGTCTCCAGTAGCTCCTCAGTGCTGACCAGTGTCAGTTGTGGAAAATGCAAGATGGTGGGCAGTGCAGGCTCTGATGCTGGGTCAGTGACCAAGTGGACAAGATCATGATCTTGCCTGCTCAGTGAACAGGAAAAGATGCAGATGGAAGGCAGAGATGCATTGCAGAAAATGGTGCAAAGTCTCAGTGGCCTTGCTATGAGCCCCATTCCCTCTGCACCAGTAAAGACTGCCACTGAAGAAAGTATGGAGAAGGCAATGCTTATTAACACCCTTGATATGCCTCAGCAGGATCACTTCAAGATACTTGACTACCTTGCCACTCCTGGAAATGTGAACCAAGTTATCATCTTCAACAAACTTGAGGAGAATATGTGCATTGGCTGGATCCAGTGGAAGTTATTACAAGTTCACAAGTTGGGTAATGTTGTTTGAATAGCTTGTCACAATGTCTGTATACAATGTAGCACATGCTATATTTTCACTGCAATCTCTTCCAACAATATGATGCAATTGAATGCAATTGATGAAAATACATGAACACTATGTAATACTGGCTGCTATCAGTTCATGCTGGGCAAAGGTATTCCATGGCAGTGATGCTCATCCAGATAGTCTTCCCACATCAAACAACTGATCTCTTCATGATGCTGTTCTGCATGCTGCCTCTCTGCAGTGCTCAGCACCCCATCTCCAAGTTCAGGAAAAGGATCATCACAATCATCTTCATGGAAATTGATGTCTTTGCCAAGTGGGAAAATGTTGTGGTCAAACAATTCACTGAGGTTATGCAAAGCACAGAGTGCCATTGGAATTCTTGCTTGTATTTTGAGACTGAATTCTGGTGTAAGCTGAAGTATACACCATTGACATTTCAGAACTCTGAATATCTGTTCAACTGTGTTCCAAAGAGCAGCATGGTGGAGATTAAACAGTTCCCAAGGATTTGCTGGTCTAGATGAGTGGAGGGGATGAGTAATTGGCAACTGAAAGCGAAATATCAAGCCTTTACTTTAGTCTTGACTGACACCACTCCTTCAAGTGGTAATGGATGCCCCAGTATGGTACAAGCAATGGATTGCAGCTACCAAATCCAGCATCAGCCAGCAGATACTTGCCTGGAGGAATGCACATGTCATTTGTATATGCATCATGCCAGAGTGTGGCATCAGCAACTGAGCCATCCCCACCACAGAGTGCATACATAAAGCAGAGGTCAAAGTTGCATATGAAGAGGCAGCTTTGAGATAGATGTCCCTTGTGGTTCCACCAAGTTGCCTGTTCTTCCAAGGGTACATATGCCTGGATATGCATGCCATCAACAGCACCGATGCAGTCACAAAAAAAGAAAGTGTGGATCACTAGTGATGGTTTCAGATGGGGGGGTCCTTGAACTGGCAAATTTGACTTGTGAGGAGTAGAAAGGATCAGATAAAAACTCAAAAAGGACAAGCTTGAAGTATCTGCAGACTGTACAGGTCCATTATTTCAGATCAAGAGTGATATGGCTCACTTGGCTACAGTTTCCAGTGTATGTTGAAACCTTTCACTGACATGGCAAGAGGAAAGTCCAGTGACACAGAAGTAGAGAATGATAGTGAGTTGTTCTTCAACAGAGATACCATGGTGGCTTCTGGAAAATCCTCAGTCACATAGGATAGATACAAGGGCTTGAAATTGCTCTTTGTTAACACTGAGGTTGTTCTTGATGTGCTGTGGATGGCTGTCTAGCAATTCATAAACCCACACTTCACCAGTGAGGATGGAGGTGTGATAAGGGATTGGTGTAGAAGCAGAAAAAAATAAGAGCTGGTAGTAGTAGCAGGCATGGGCAATAAGACATGAAAGTATTGCCAGAAGATGACATTGGTGCACAACCTCATGTTGAGCATTGGTGTTGGTATCCATAAGGACAGCATTGTGTGGTTAGCACATAGATCGATATGCTGACATAAACCCATGTCATGTGACACCATGAGAGAAATTTTCTGCATCTTTTTTTTTTTTTTCAAAAAATCCCAATTGGCATTCTGAACAGGACCTAATGGCTCCAGATGGATCTCTTTTTTTTGCTAATGGCCCCCAGGATCATCACAGACCAAATGGAGAACTTTGGATTGGTGTCAATCTAGGAATAGACTGGTGAGTAAATTTAATTATGTGCTGCTGCCATCTGCCCTCTTATCATATATATGCTTCCAATAGGTTCTCTTATACATATTTGCAGCAACATCACCACATCACATTCCTCAGGTCCAACTTCCTTTTCTATAAGTAATCTGCCACCAGAATGTAGGTGTGTCCAAGCTGTCTAATAGTGAGGTGTTTGTAATTACACTATGTCAGATACCACACATCCAACCATCTACTTACAAGCATTTTGCCTGGACCCAAGGAGCAGAGCCCCAATGAGATTCAACATTTCCTTAGGCCAATTGTCTCTGACTTGTTACATCTTTGGAGAGATGGGATTTGAGTCTTGACACCCTTATCTCCAAATGGTATCAATTACATATTGCAGTTATTATTTCACCATGCTGACCAATGACAGGTTGCCTCATCCATGTTGTCCTCATTGCAGTCATTTGTGATAAACCAGCAGCTTATAAAATTAGCTGATTTGGGTCTCATTCCAATACTTACTTCTGTCACGACTGCTGGATCTTGAAGGCTAACAAAGACAAGGCAGAGGCCTTTGTCCAGGATAGTATGTTGACTGGCAGCTGTCTCATTGTGTTGACTAAACAATTTTTAGCCTTTTGAGCTCATATGAATACAGAACAGTGTGAACTTGGCCAACAGTACTCTCAGTTAACAACAGCTGCTGCACACAGCAACTTTGTTAAGGACTTTGCAACTCAATTTACCCAACTCTCCTGCCTCCCATTTTTTGATCTTGATCTTGTGAATCAGATTGCTATTGACCCCATGCATAATCTTTCCTTGATATGCATCACACACCACTTGTCTACCTGACTGATATCTCACTCTATACTCCTTGCATGTCTCATCAAGACCCATTTTTACAATATCTGGGCACAGGGCAAGATCTCATGTCCAAACCATGAGCTTCTAGCTGGCATAAGTAGCATTTTCTAGTATATTGTCACTCTCACTAACACATGGTTAAGTTTGAGATCCCAACTTCATGTGGCAAACTTCCAACTGACATCAGTGTACCAGCTGGAGGTTTGCTGACTCCCAACCAATGGTTTCTACTTGCCACTGTCTATGGACTGCTCACAGTAAGTTATCTGCCCTATTTCACATGCAAGCAAATGAAAGCTATTCTCAGATCCCACAACTCTGGAACATCTGCATATCAGATGCTCAGCAACAAAGCACTCTCACTGACCACGTAATGATGATCATTAAACAGGAGTTGGAGAAGGCATCAAGTGAAGAGAAGAAGAAGGAAGAAGCTCAGGCACTCAAGGAGGCATGGTCTTGAGGAAAAGAAGCTCTTGCTGCCCAGAAAGCTCACATCAGCACAGCAAAAGCC